GTATTTGACTCTGAAAGTGCTAAACTGCCCAAGTTCTAAAAGCTGACATTAACCCCAAGAGCCGACACAAGATTTCGTCTGCTGAGAGTTGACAGAAGTGCTTCACTCTGGGTTTTTTATATCAAGTACCACTACACCTTTCTTGCTTTTGCCTAGCACACAGTGGCAGGTGTGTGGATACAGAAACCCAGGCCTTTGGAAGCAAAGCCAGAGACAGATTTTCCTGTCAATCACTTACAGAGAGCTCAGTTACTATTGCTTTCTAAACTGCATCTACTGAGAAAAACTAATTGAAAGGAGCAGGAAGTGTTTCTGGTAATGTATGCTAAAGGACACCTAACTTTTCCTAGTAATAATTGCTCCTGTAATTAGCAAAACCAGGATGTGTCTCCCAGCTCTTAGCCTCAGTGTATGTACAAGATTATTGCAACAAACACTCACTTCCTCAACAGCAAGGAAAGGATTTATATTAAGCCACTGTTCCCATTTCTCAAGGGCCTGTCTTTTAAAAAAAAATTCCTTTTTTTAAAATTCTCCCTGTAAGGGAAAGCAGCAGTAGTGGGGAGGGACTGAGGCAACCGCCTGGCCGAGCATCTGCTCCATCATGGTGCTGCACAGGAAGAGTTTCACAGCCCTTAATGTAACTTGTTTATCATTTAACTTGGACACCGGCCTGGGCTAATTATAGAACTCAGTTTCAGTTCTTTGAATCCTGCTTAGCCTGAAGCACACTCTGGTAATGGTTGGTTTTTAGTCCATTAGATTCAATTTCCCTACCTCCAAATGGGGCAAACATAGAATGAACCCCAGACCCCCCTGGGGTCTGGAATGCAGTCACTGAAGGACACACAGACACAGGTAACCAATGGAATGGCCACATTTGTAGGAAAACTCAGTTCCTTGAAAAGCCACTCAAGCAGTGAAGCAGATTTCCTGCGGCCACGTCCATGGGGATGAGATCTGTGCAGTATCGCAGAGGGAGAGCAGAGCTGAGGTACACTGAGGAACAGTTTCCAGAGCAAAGAACCACGATGGCAAAGCTGCCTTTGGCTCATTTCCCATCCCAGCTGTTGTGGGCTTGGACCTGGGCCAGTTCTGTGTTCCCTGGCAGCTGCAGGGGCACCCACGGCTCGTGACGGAGTCACCATCTTCTGGTGCCACTGTCCTGCTGATCACAGGATCTGCATCCCCACTGGAAAGGAATTAACACTACTCTGACTGGGGGAAAAAGGGAAAAACCAGGCAAGTAAGTGGTGGTAAAATCCTGGCCAGGGCCCAGCAAGAACTCCAGTGCCTCCAACAGGCGAGATTTCACTCCTAGCACCTGTTTGGATTGTTCTGCTACCTTTAATCTTAAGGGATTAAATGACTATTTTATATAGCAACCTTAGTGAGAGAACCATAAAATGATTTAAAACAGCTATGCCTAGTAAAAAAGCAGGATTCAAATCAAAAGCACAATGTAGCAAGGACTCCTTACCTGAAATGCAGCACTACTCACACACTCACTGCTCTCCCCAAAAATGTAGAATTTGAGTTACTTTCAGATGTAGCTGTCTAAGAAATACAGAAATAAAAATTCAGTCTTTGTCTCTGGATATACAGTACCAAAGGAAATCTGCTTCTAGGAAGGTATTTAATGAACCCCAGGTTTCAATTAAAATCAATTTTTAATAACTGACCTTGTTTCAAAAAGAATTTTAAGTTTAGACCTCAAACATTGCTAAAAAACTCCGTATTTGACGTTCAGTTCTCAGCTTCCACCTGTATGAAAAACCTAAATCTTCACTAATTGTGAATTAATGCACCCCACAGAAAATACCTGGGCAGCAAAGGGGTCTCTTCAGTTCCTAAGCCATGATTCTCTTCGTCAACTGTAATGTCACTCATTACCTTGTTCAGCATTCCACAGCAATGGATTGCCTCTGCTGCTGAGACAGGAAATCCCTTCATAGAAGTGAGAGAACTACAACAGGTGTAAACAAACTGAAAGTTTCAAGATTAGTTTCTTATCTATTTCCTTCAGCTTCAATATTCAGTGGAGAGTTTGCTGCTTGCTCTCAGGACTTACTGCAGAGGAGGAGTAAAAGCACTTGAGATGGGAGAGTGGATTTCAGCATGAGAGCTGCCAGCCTGATTTGGGGTGGGGTTGTTTTTTCTTAAATAATATTCTCACCTGCTCTGTATCTTGTGTGTTCCACCCCAGTGTGAAATCACAGTGGCCAGAATAATTCTCAATTCCTTTTGCAGCAGCAGCCAAGTCCTAATGCTCACAGGACAGGCAAAGGGATGTTTTTCCTAAAGCCTTTAATGAATTACTCTCCTAACTCCCCCAGTCAGACCTGTAAAATACTGGAGGCTGGGATGTTGCATCTCCGTGGAAAATGCTGAAAGAGCAGAAGTGGAGTTAGGCAAAAATGAAACAGCTTTTAGTTTGGGGTTGGTTGGTTTGTTTGTTTTGCTAGTGAATCTTTATGTACCGCTTGCTGTGCACTGCAGAGTTTGCAGCTATATCTCTGTAAGTGAAATGAACTTAAACGCTCAATGAATATTTTATCAGTCTTTCATTTATGCCAAGTTTCATTTCTTCAGTTTTCCTGGATATGAGACCTTGAAGAGCCTGCTGAATATCTGAGATAGAAGCATCCAAGTGAAGACAGTTCTTGAGTACAGCAGTTTTACAGAAGAGCAGATTTCCACCAAACTGTTCAGTGTCACTGGCACTGAGGTGGGAAAACAGCTGCTCTCTAAAGCCCAAAAAAAGACTGAATGTCTGGCCTGATTGTTACCATCTGTAGTACACAGCTAAAAACCTCTAAAAGCTGCTCCAAGATTCTGAATGCAGTTAATACCCCGCCCCAACACAACAGAAGGCAAATGTGAGATGCACCAGAAAGCTGAAGGGACACGAGGACACAGCCAGTGCTAAAGGGCAGCGTTAGCTGAGCGTCCCTGCAGCTCCCAGCCTGTCCTGGCTCAGCCCAGCCCAGGTCACACACCTCAGTCACACTCCAGGTCACTGCCTTTCTGCAGGGGACACACAGAGCTGTTCTCACAGCTTGGGGCCAGCTACCTGCACTGCTCTCTGGCTCAGGGCATCTTTTGTACAGCTGGAGTGCTGGGGCACAGCTCCTCTGACAAGGGCAGGAATTCTGCCTCTTGGAACAGCTCTGCCCTTGGGTTGGAGTCAGCCTTTGGCTCTTGAGCATTTGAAACACTGGAGCTGACAGGGGTCCCCTCGCAGAGCCTGTGCCAGAGCACGAGGCTGACATGGCTGCATGCTGATTTTCAGTTACAGCCTCATCAAAACTAGGCACCCCTCAAGCTCTTCTGCTGCTTGTAGTAGATACCTACAATTATAGTTTAAGAAACAATGGAATCAGTTTTCTTGATCCCAGTGGTGGGGTGAAGAAGCCCTGGGCTGTTCCACAGCAGATCTGTGAAGCTGCAGGGGGCAGGAGGAGGGAACTGTTCAGTTTGCACAGGAGAGGAAAGGCCAGCTAAGTTCTAGTGCTCACCTCAATACTCTCCACGTTCCACAGGAAGAAGTCAATACAGAAGTTCTGTAGCATCCTGCCTGGATGCTTCCAGGTTCTTCTAGACGCCTTTTTCCTGCCATGCAAACAGGAATTTATTTGCTGCCCAGCCTGCCACCCCTCTCCTCACATGCCTCTATCACCCAGCAGCTTCAAAAAGGTGCAGCAATTACACATGCTGGAGTCACTGGGAAACTTCAGGGCAAGAACTTCCTCTGGAGCCCGTTCACCATCTGCCACAGAACCAAAACCAACTTTTCCTTTGTCCCAGCAGTCTCATAGTGGTGTTACTGCTCTGCCAGTGCTTCAGTTTGCCATCACATACCTCCTGGTTTTTTATTTTTTGCATTTCCAGAGAGCAGCAGTGTGTGTTGTATTAACTGCAAGAGTTTTCTGCCAGTTCAGAGCTTCAAGTTCCAAACTGCAACTAAATCCAACCTCGTGGCTGCATTTTTATTCTGCTTTATTTGCATTTGTGTTACACAACTGCAGTGAAGCCAGACAATAGTAACACACCTCCCTCACCTGATCCATTTGTTTGGCCTGGCAAAGGGAGAAGTCCTCACACCTTTCCTAATAACCCAGTTTGTAAATCTGTACCTTGCCCAAGGCTCTGGGGCTGGGCTGGATGGCAAAGGATGGGATCTCTCTGCCACTAAACCCAGGGATAACCCTTCAGAGAAGTGGCCTGAGTGCTTTTACACAAACGTTTCAGCAGAGGGGATGTTTCACAGCTGGAGTGCCAAGGCTCTCCCGTTTTGGAGAGTAATGCTGCTGTTTCTCCAGCCCAGCCATGGAGAGCTTCCCCAGCTCCTGTGTGCTGTCCATGGCAGTGAGGATGACACCCTGCAGTGCCAGTGCTGGGGAAGGTGCCCACAGCCCACGGGCTTTGTTCTGCCCTCGGCTGGCACTGCCCAAGCAGCTGGAGAGACCACACAGGCACTGCCATTTCCATAGAATGGGGCTGTCCCACTTCTAATGTCCCGTACAAATCTTGACTGCTGAGAACAGGTTCAGCAGCTGTGCCAGAGCCAGACAGCTGAGAGGATCCCAGCACTGCTCCTGAGTGAGCCTGGAATGGGACAGGAGCAGCTGAGGCCTTACCTAGTGCTGAAACGAAGGAAGCAAGGGCTCACATTTTCACAGCTCTTCCCTCAAGTTGGTCTCATTACCCATCAGCAGTAACTGCAATAGGGCCCTGCAGACCAGCAGCGTGAATTCCTGTCAAAGAAAAAACCAAAACAATTGGCATTATCTCCCAAACGCTCCACCAGCACCAGCTTCTGTACATCACAAATAATCTGAGCAGCAGAGCACGAGTACAGTGATCAAACACACCAAGGGAAAATACAGAAGTTATGGCTTAGTCTCTGGTAGTTTTCCTTATTAACTGTTGTTTATTCCCATGCCTGCTGTGATTAAAAGCACACTGACTTCTCAGCTGCTGTTTGTTTGCTGTTACAGCTGGACAGCGTCACTTCACTAATTCAGGCCGCCAAAAATCTCATGAATTCTGTGGTGCAGACAGTGAAGATGTCCTACATCGCATCCACAAAGATCATCAAGATTCAGAGTCCTGCCGGCCCACGACATCCAGTTGTCATGTGGAGAATGAAGGCTCCAGAGAAGAAGCCCCTGATTAAAAGAGAGAAGCCGGAAGAAATCTATGCTGCTGTCAGGAAAGGTTCTGCAAAGAAGAGAATCCATCCTGTGCAAGTCATGAGTGAATTCAGGGGCAGAGAAATGGTCTAATGTTTTGCTATTATGTCTTCCTATTTTAAATTTCCAATGATTTTTCATCTTTTCCCCCACTTATTTAATAATTATGTATGTCAATGTTTTGCTCTAAATCTGTAAGATAACACTTGCTGAAAGGATGTGAAATGCTGTTGGGTTGATTAGAAGCACAGAGGTGAAAAGGAAGCAGATTCTCCTGCAGGGCCGAGCTGCGGTGTCTGTGCTGCAGCTGCATTCATTCAGCAGTGTCAGAGAGGCTCCCACTGCAGCACATCTGCTTTGTGGCACAGCATCTCAAACTGCTGCTCAGCCCAGCTCCAGCATCCAGGGGCTGTGCCGTGGAAATGGGAGCCTGAAAATGTTTGGTGAAACACACGAAGTGCAGGAACAAAGTGGATGGAATCATGCACTACAAAAAGCACTGCCTGCGAGCCAGCACGGATGGCAGCTCTTCAGGAGGCCTTTGGAAGCACGAACAGGGATCCGTGTCCTGCTCCCTTCTGTGAGCCCCAATAAATCTGCTGAGTGCCAGATAAATCAGACATTAACAATAAGAAACTTCCCTAATTGCTGCAAGAAAGAACAACTTTGAAATAAATCATTATTCTGATACCAGTGTGTGAAATACTCAAATATTGACTCTAAGCAATGGGGAGACTTTTCCAAAGCAAGTGTAGGGAATTAAGTTCCTTCTGACAACGAGTCCTAAATGCAGGTGCGTGCTGAACAGCTGCACTCAAAGTGTGTAATGAGGGTAAATCCTGCTAGGCCAGACCTGTGCGGTGTACTTACAAAAAACTAATTTTTCTAAATACTATGGAATCTGAAATCCACTTGTATTTATTTTTTTAGACAGACCTAACTTGCCTTTTTGCCACATCATGCCTTTTTCCCAGACTGCAGTTGTTACTCAAGATGTCTTTGCTTGGCCGTTCATTAAATCCTTTGGCCTCCTGCATTTGCTGAGGTGAAGGCAGAGCCAGAGCTCACTGTGTGCCTGCCATTGTGGGATGGCTCCACACTCTGGGCTGCTGCCCCAGGTCATTCCTGACCATGTTTGCACAGCAGCACCTGACCCAGCCCAGTGTGGGCAGCAAGAACAACCCTGAGCTGTGCCCTTCCCTTGGGGCTGCTGTGTGTAAGCTCAGGACTCTGTGGGCTGTCAAACTGCAGTGAATTAAAATCTCTACAGATGGTTCTTCCACCTTCCCTGACAGTGCAATCAGTTAATGGAACAAAAGGAGAGAAGTTTGGAAGAAAATCACCTTTTCCAGCTGCAGTTCCCTCCAGGCTGTTTGCACCAAGGTCTCAGCACTGTCTCCTGCCTTTGGGGGCTCCTCTGGGGTTCCAGAGGCAGCAGGGGAACTGGCACAGCCCTGGCAGCTGGCACAGCCCTGGGGTGAGTGCCCTGAAACCCTCCTGGCTCCAGTGACCGCAGTGACACCAGTGACCCTGACACCAGTGACCACAGTGACACCAGTGACTCCAGTGACCACGGCTCCAGTGACCGCAGTGACACCAGTGACCCTGACACCAGTGACCACAGTGACACCAGTGACTCCAGTGACCACGGCTCCAGTGGCCGCAGTGGCACCAGCGGTCGCAGTGACACCAGTGACTCCATTGACCACAGTGACCCTGACACCAGTGACCGCAGTGACACCAGTGACTCCATTGACCACAGTGACCCTGACACCAGTGACTCCAGTGACACCAGTGACTCCATTGACCACAGTGACCCTGACACCAGTGACTCCAGTGACACCAGTGACCCTGGCTCCAGTGACCGCAGTGACACCAATGACCCTGACACCAGTGACTCCAGTGACACCAGTGACCCTGGCTCCAGTGACTGCAGTGACACCAGTGACCCTGGCTCCAGTGACCGCAGTGACCGCAGTGACCCTGACACCAGTGACCGCAGTGACACCAGTGACCCTGGCTCCAGTGACCACAGTGACACCAGTGACACCAGTGACACCAGTGACCCTGGCTCCAGTGACCGCAGTGACACCAGTGACCCCGGCTCCAGTGACCGCAGTGACCCCGGGTAGCGTTCAGAGCCGATGCCCTGGATCCCGTTACTAATTTAACCCCGAGGAGCTGCTGTCAGTGCTGTGGGAATGGTTCAGTGGCTGCAGCTCAGGGCCTGCCAGGTGTGCTCACAGCATCAGTATCCCCACAGCACTCTCCATGCTTCATTCCATCTCCTGCCTGCACTGCCAGGCTCTGCTCTTACCCTGGCCATGCTCAGTAGCCAGTTTGAGCTCAACACACCGATTTATTACACAAAAAACACCCTCTAAATGAACAAGGAATTTAAAACCCACTGCAGGTTGTTGAGAAGAGCCAAAAGAACAATATTTCAACGTAGACTAAATTTATCTTGGGTCCCACTCAATCCCAAATGAAAAGGTTTATTCCTGGCTGAGAAGTCCTGGAGCTGTAAGGAGCCCAGCTCATTAGCCCTCACAGGCAGTCTGGGAAGCAGGGAACCACCGCTTCCCTGCCACCAGGGAGAACTGGGAAGGAGGATGAACTGCTCAGTAAGTTCTAGTCCAAGCAGCTCCTCATTCCCTGCTAGCCCAGTTTCTGTCTGTCCCTCACCAGCACATCCCCCCACGGTGCCCTCAGCAGCTCAGATCATTTCATCAGCCTGCCCTGGCCTCTCCCCATTGCCACATTACAGAGCAAAGTAGTGGAAATTTTCCCTAGAGCACTGAAAGGTGAGAGCCCCATTGCTGAAGCTCGTTAGTTTGAGAGGACAGGGCAGTGTCATTTCCATAAATCCCAAAGATATGAATTTATTTATTTTTTTTTCCCCAACAGCTGATGTAGTTTTTCTCCCAACATAGCCTGGTACTACTAGGCAAACTCCAGAGCTGCATCTCTACTAAAGAACACCAGTGAGCAGCCTGACATCAGGCCTGGAGTGGTGTTTTACAGGTCCTGCAGCGCTTTTTGAAAGGCTTGTGTCTTTCATTTTCTGAGTCCACAACTGAAGCATTTGGGAAATGTTTATACAGCAAGTTCTTTCATGAACCTTTAGAAGTTTTCTTTTTTACAAAAAATAAAAAAATGTCTTTATCAGCAGCAGATAATAAAATTCTATGTAAAACCTATGTTTGCTTCCAGATGTTGCTTATCCGTTGTGTGCTGCTCCTGGTTGAACTCCGGTGCCTTGGCAGTGCGTGAGGCTCAGGGAATGAGCTGAACGAGCCCTTGTTGCCTCTGGCTGGATTCAGAAGCAGAAGGGAGCAAGCAGGCTGTGCTGGCAGAGGCAGAGGGGTCCCAGGGCTCTCGCAGAGTGCCCGAGCTGTGCCGTTCCTGCTGCAGCCCTGCGTGCCAACATCGGGGCTGGAGAAGCAGCTCTGGCACAGCCGGGGCCCCAGGGAGCCCCCCCAGCCCCCTGCAGGATCCTGTACAGCATCCCAGAGCCCTGCCTGGGTACACACAACAGGGAATGAACCCCCCACCGCCCCTGGGGCTGGGGGACAGAGCACAGCTAGAGCACTCATTTGATACTCATTTGATCTGCAATTCAGCAGATGAGTGATTAAATAATAATTAACGACCAAGCAGACGATGCTACACACTTGTGTTTAGTTAAAGGGCAGGAAATGCAGCAGCGGTGTTAATTAAAAAGCCACGGGTTTAGTGTCGTGCACCGCAAGTGGTGGTGCTGCACTGAAAAATACCTTTCAAATAATAACTATAATAAACCACAACTCACTGGGAGCTTTCTTGGCATGAAGAAAAACAAAATACATCCAAAGCAGAAATGGCAAACAAACCATGAAAATACTTTAAAGCCCCAGATGTCTCATCAACAGGAGGAATGTGGTGCTGTGGTCCAAGGATCTGGAAGCTGAGGAATTCATTTCCTAAAAGCAGGAGTTCAGATGAAAGCTTGCAGTGCAAGAGGTGGGTGGAGCAGAGATGATGTAGCAGAGCAGAGATGCCCTGTGCAGGATCTGCACTTCTCAGTTCCCTGCACTCGGGGCTGTGGGACAGGCCCTGCTCTTGCAGGGTTCATGGAGCTGCTGCTCCCTGCTCCAGCAAGCCCCTGTGCCTCGGCTGCTGCATTCCCTGAGCTCCAGCACTGGATGGAAACCAGTGGATAGGATAGGAAACTGCTCCCACACTGCACCACACCAAACCAGCCAGCATGGCTGAGAGAGTGGGAGAAAACAGCAAAAGGTCTTTTGTGCCTTCCACTCCCTCTATAAACCCAGTCTCGTCCTCCCAGCCATCACTGGGGCCGGGGGCTTTGCAGCTTGCTGGGGATGTGCTCCTTAGAACCTCAAATGAAAATAAGTCAATAAAACAGCCAGAGCAACTTGCTGCCGGGAAGGGTTCCATCAGTTTATCCAAGAGAACTTCGGGGTGCATATTGCAAGATTTTGATTTAACTCGCCTGCACTAAGGAGCGAGCTGAGGACAGAAAAGAGAGGACTAGAGCTCTGCTACTTTACATCTTGGGTACAAACTGAAAGGGGGAGCTGTAGATGAGATGTGGGGAAGGAATTATTCACTGTGAGGGTGCTGGTGACGCCTGGCACAGGCTGCCCAGGGAGGCTGTGGTGCCCCGGATCCCTGCAAGTGTCCAAGGCTGGATAAGGCCCTGAGTAAGCTGGGATAGCAGCAAGTTTTGGACAAGATGGTCTTCAAGGTTCACTCCAAACCCTCAACACCTGTGATTCCTTATGGATTATACAGGTGCCACAGACTTTGTGCAGAAATATTCACCACAGAGAGGGGCAGAGCCCAAGCACACACTGCAAACCAGCTGCCCATAATGTCTCTGCCCTGGCTGCCAGGAAAATAACCCTCTCTTATGTACCTGTTTATATTTTATACCTATTACAACACACATTAGTAATGACTATTGTAACACATTCATAAAATACAAGTAACAAATTCAGGTAACTATTCCAATTAAATATATATTTGTAGTTAAATATATTTCTGTAATTACATATTACTTAGTTATCGATAAACTGAACTTGTTAGAATTCTTAGCAAGTACACAAGTACCCGAATGTTTCACTTTATAAAGGTGCAGCTTCTCATACTCAGCCTCAATTTTCTGATTTTCTAAATTATCTGATCGGGAAAAAAGTGTTAGCATCCTATGGCAAAAGTACAGCAACTGCGTCTCGTCAGAAAGCAGACTGGAACTTAAGCCCCC